TCCTGGCTGATATTGGCTGAGCTGAAACTGCATGATACTGGATGATACTGGCTGATGCCAGCTGATACCGGCCAACAGCTTGGCTGATCCTGGCGATGCTCGCTGATATTGGCTGATACTTGCTGATGCTGGATGGTGCTGGCTGTATTGGCTGATACTGCCTGGCTGAAACTGGCTGATACCGGCTGAAACTGGCTGATACTGGCTGAAACTGGCTGATACTGGCTGAGACTGGCTGAAACTGGCTGATACTTGCTGATGCTGGATGATATTGGCTGATCCTGGCTGATATTGGCTAACACTGGCTGAAACTGGCTGATACTTGCTGATGCTGGATGATACTGGCTGATCCTGGCTGAGACTGGCTGATATTGGCTGAAACTAGCTGATACGGGCAAAAACTGGCTGATCCTGGCTGAAACTGGCTGGCCAACAGCTTGGCTGATCCTGGCGGATGCTCACTGATATTGGCTGATACTTGCTGATGCTGGATGGTACTGGCTGATCCTGGCGATATTGCGCTGAAACTGACTGAAACTGGCTGATCCCGGCTGAAACTGGCTGATACTTGCTGATGCTGGATGATACTGATATTGGCTGATGCTGGATTAAGCCCTTATTAAGGTCAAAGGGTCCAAAATTGACACCACCGGGGTTTGAGCCCGCGCCCTTTTTCCAGAAGGGCTTGTAAGCCATATGCTTGCTCGCTGAGCTATGGGCGACTAGGGAAGGTTTGGGGTGGCTGTTCAGTTCGGCGTTTGGGTTTGGTCGCGGGCTCAATCTCCGGCGGTGTCATTTGGGTTCTTTCCCAACCGGAATCGAAATTTTGAAATGACCAATTACTGCACTACTGGTCATCACTGCACTCCTGCCAAGTACTGCACTACTGGTCATTGCTGCACTACTGCCAAATACTGCACTACTGTCAATTGCTGTACTACCAATTACTGCACTGCTGCTAATTGCTGTGGAGGTATTGTGGAAGTGTTGTGGAAGTGTTGTGGAGGTGTTGTGGAGGTGTTGTGGAGGTGTTGTGGAAGTGTTGTGGAAGTGTTGTGGAGGTGTTGTGGAGGTGTTGTGGAGGTGTTGTGGAAGTGTTGTGGAAGTGTTGTGGAAGTGTTGTGGAGGTGTTGTGGAGGTGTTGTGGAAGTGTTGTGGAAGTGTTGTGGAAGTGTTGTGGAGGTGTTGTGGAGGTGTTGTGGAGGTGTTGTGGAATTGTTGTAGAAGTGTTGTGGAAGTGTTGTGGAGGTGTTGTGGAGGTGTTGTGGAAGTGTTGTGGAAGTGTTGTGGGTGTTGTGGAGGTGTTGCTTGAAACTGGCCGAAACTTGCTGATGTTGGATGATATTGCTGGATGAAACTGGCTGATCCTGTACTGACTGATGCCAGCTGATACTGGCCAACAGCTTGGCTGAGCCTGGATGATATTGGCTGAAACTGGCTGATCCTGGCTGATACTGGCTGAAACTGGCCTTGGCTGAGACTGGCTGAAACTGGCTGATACTTGCTGATGCTGGCTGATATTGGCTGATTCGGGTTGAAATTGGCTGATCCTGGCTGATATCGGCTGATACTAGCTGAAACTGGCTGATACTTGATGATGTTGGATCATATTGGCTGATCCTGATATTACTGATGCCAACTGATACTGGCCAAACAGCTTGTGATGCTGGCTTGTCTTGGCTGATACTGTCTGATACTGGCTGAAACCGGCTGATGCTTGCTTGATGCTGGCTGAAACTGATCCTGGCTGATATTGGCCGATATTGGCTGATACTGGTTGATATTGGCTGATCCTGGCTGATACTGGCTGATCCTGGCTGATACTGGCTGAAACTGGCTGAGACTGGCTGAAACTGGCCGATACTTGCTGATGCTGGATGGTATTGGCTGATCCTGGCTGATATTGGCTGAGCTGAAACTGCATGATACTGGATGATACTGGCTGATGCCAGCTGATACCGGCCAACAGCTTGGCTGATCCTGGCGATGCTCGCTGATATTGGCTGATACTTGCTGATGCTGGATGGTGCTGGCTGTATTGGCTGATACTGCCTGGTACTGGCTGAAACTGGCTGATACCGGCTGAAACTGGCTGATACTGGCTGAAACTGGCTGATACTGGCTGAGACTGGCTGAAACTGGCTGATACTTGCTGATGCTGGATGATATTGGCTGATCCTGGCTGATATTGGCTAACACTGGCTGAAACTGGCTGATACTTGCTGATGCTGGATGATACTGGCTGATCCTGGCTGAGACTGGCTGATATTGGCTGAAACTAGCTGATACGGGCTAAAACTGGCTGATCCTGGCTGAAACTGGCTGGCCAACAGCTTGGCTGATCCTGGCGGATGCTCACTGATATTGGCTGATACTTGCTGATGCTGGATGGTACTGGCTGATCCTGGCGATATTGCGCTGATACTGACTGATACTGGCTGAAACTGGCTGATACTGGCTGATCCTGGCTGATCCCGGCTGAAACTGGCTGATACTTGCTGATGCTGGATGATACTGATATTGGCTGATGCTGGATTAAGCCTTTATTAAGGTCAAAGGGTCCAAAAATGATACCTCCGGGGTTTGAGCCCGCGCCTTTTTTTCCAGAAGGGCTTGTAAATCACATGCTCGCCCGCTGAGCTATGGGCAACTAGAAATGAGGGCGGCCGTTCACTCCCTTGTTTGGGTTTGGTCGCGGGCTCAATCTCCGGCGGTGTCATTTGGGTTCTTTCCCAACCGGAATCGAAATATTGAAATGACCGAAACCGTGCAAACCCACCCATTCCCGCTTGCCCATTTCCACACGAATACTAGATCCGTGCAAACATACAAGGAATCCATTAAATCCGTGCAAAGACACATTAAGCCCGTGCCAAATACACACTAAATCAGTGCAAATACACCTGCAACTGCCACCACCTGCCACAGTACTGGAAATGCGTCGTTTCGGCTCCTGGCTGGATTGTGCTTGCTTGTAGTACAACTTTAGTACTGGAAATGCCTCGTTTCGGCTCCTGCCTGGATTGTGTTTCTTGTAGTACAATTTTATTGCTGGAAATGCCTCATTTCGACTCTTGGCTGCATTGTGCTTGTGCTTGTAGTACAACTTTAGTGCTGGAAATGCCTCATTTCAGCTCCTGGCTGGATTGTGCGTGGACTGTGCTTGCTTGTAGTACAACTTTAGTACTGGAAATGCCTCGTTTCGGCTCCTGCCTGCATTGTGCTTGCTTGTAGTACAACTTTAGAATAGGAATTGCCTCGTTTCGGCTCCTGCCTGCATTGTGCTTGTGCTCGTAGTACAACTTTAGTGCTGGAAATGTATCGTTTCGGCTCCTGGCTGGATTGTGCACTTGCTTGTTGTTCAACTTCAGTACTGGGAATCGTTTCGGCTCCTGTGGATTGTCCTTGCTTGTAGTACAACTTTAGTACTGCAAATGCCTCGTTTCGGCTCCTGCCTGCATTGTGCTTGTGCTTGCTTGTGGTGCAACTTGTGCTGGACATGCCTCGTTTCGTTTCCTGGCTGGATTGTGTGCTTGCTTGTAGTGCAACTTTGGTGCTGGAATGCTTCGTTTCGGCTCCTGAATGGATTGTGCTTGCTTGTAGTACAACTTTAGTACTGGAAATGCCTCGTTTCGGCTCCTGGCTGGATTGTGCTTGCTTGTAGTACAACTATAGTACTGGAAATGCCTCGTTTCGGCTGCTGGCTGGATTGTTTCTACTACTACTACTACTACTACCACTACTACTCTTACTGGTATTGCTACTACTTCTCATCGCCACTGTCATCATCACCAAGCTCATCGTCATCTAACCGTGATCATCATCATCATCATCGTCGTCAAGCTCATCAAAACCTTCATAATCATCATCATCTTCATCAATAGAAATTGCAAGTAAGATTACAACCCCCTACTTATAAAAAAGCACATTTGGAGGTTTTTTTGAGGGGATCCTGTTTAATCAGAGGACGGCTAATTACTGTGAAGGATTGGATCCTCTTTAACCAGGGTGGTAACCTTTAAGAATTATTCAGGGTTCATAACAAGGGTTGGGGAGTGTGGGGATTCAGGGTTCATCACAAGGGTAGGGGAGTGTGGGGGTCCTGCTTGATCAAGGGTGGTAAGCTAAAAATTTAATAGTAGGGGGCTAGTTGCTGTGAGGGATTAGAACCTATTTAAAAGAATTATTCAGGGTCCATAAGAAGGGTTGGGTGGTGTGGGGTCCTTACTAATCAGGGGCTGTAAGCTAAAAAATTAATTAGGGGGGTGCTGGTTGCTGTGAGGGATTAGACCCTGTTTAATCAGGGGGTTATCTTTAAGAATTATTCAGGGTCCATAAGAAGGGCTGGGGGCTGTGGAGTCCTAACTAATCAGGGGCTGTAAGCTAAAAATTTAATTAGGGGGGTGCTGGTTGCTGTGAGGGATTAGACCCTTTTTAATCAGGGGGTTATCTTTAAGAATTATTCAGGGTCCATAAGAAGGGTTGGGGGCTGTGGGGTCCTAACTAATCAGGGGCTGTAAGCTAAAAAATTAATTAGGGGGGTGCTGGTTGCTGTGAGGGATTAGACCCTTTTTAATCAGGGGGTTATCTTTAAGAATTACTGTCAGGGGTGCGAGCTAAAAAATTAATTAGGGGGGTGCTGGTTGCTGTGAGAGATTAGACCCTTTTTAATCAGGGGGTTATCTTTAAGAATTATTCAGGGTCCATAAGAAGGGCTGGGGGCTGTGGGGTATCCTGTCTAATTGGGGGGACATTTTATTTATTTCGGGTTCAATTGAAAGTCAATCAAATTGTTTCTGTGGATGGAACGAGCCTGTCTAATTGGGGGGGTTGTTTTTTCAATTTTTTATCCTTATTTGGGGTTCAATTAAAACACATACAAATCTGACCCCAACACCCGGCCCGTGCCATTCTAATCATGGGAATTTCCTAATCAGGTTCCTACATTAGTTGCTGAGTTGCTAAGCCCTGTCTAAGGAAACCCTAATCCCAATCTGGAGGTCAGGCAGACTACCAGATGTGGAACATGGTCGCTGTCACAGCCGGACGTCCCTAAACTGCAAAGCGCCTTGAAGGTTTAGGGTTTTAGGGTTTAGGGTTTAGGGTTTAGGGTTTAGTATGTCATTCAGAGAGTGTTAAGGCTTTTGGGCTTTCTGGTCTGTGCCGGAAAACGGCCGACTGTGGCCAAGTTGGCCAAGGGAAAGATTCAGCTTGTGCGCGCCCCTCGGTGGTAACAGCGAGGTTGGTTTATAGGTTCTCGAACTCTTATGAAATCGGTTGTAGAACCCTCAGAGGACCCTAGCCGAACCTTGAACCCTGTTTCCCTAAACCCAGAAAGAACCCTTGTAGAACCTTGAACCTTGAAGTCAAAGGACCCTTAAAGAACCCCAAGCCTGAAACCGTCAATGGACCCTTACAGAACCCCAAACCCAAACCCTCACAGGACCCTTAAGAACGCCGAGCCTCAAGCCCTCAAAGGAAACTTATAGAACCTTGACGAAGTCCTTTAGACGTTTCCATGAGCTGTCGCAGTGCTCAGAGATAGCCTTTCTGAACTGATCGGTTAATGGGCTCAGGGTTCGGATATCTTTGCGGCTTCAGATCTTGACGCTAAGAGCTCGAAAAGAAGTTCTGGTTCAGAAGTCCGGAAGCCAGCGCAACCTCCACCCGTCACCAATCGGCCCGAAGTCACAGCCCTACATCCACAAATGTCGTACCTCAAGCCGTGGCTGCTCTACCCATACCATTGTCGAGGTTCCTTATTATGATCATAGCATAATGGGCCCGAAAACCCTATTCAAATTATGAAGGCCCCTACAGCATGTCTATGGGGTGGCATCAGCAGCAGCAGCGGCAGATCGCGCAGGCAAGAATAGTGAGCGTGTTCGTTGCAGCATCGGCAGCGGTACCACCAGGGGCAGGAACACAGCTATGCATAGTACACAATCCAAGGAACTTTGTCTGCTTGACAACATAACATGACAAAATTCGTTGAACTCCAAATCCTAAAACGAAATCATAGCATGTATAAGAGCTTGATAGCACCGCAGTTGAGGTTTCATGGGCCCGATCATTGGCCGCTTGGCGGTCCACTTGGGCGGCCGCAACGTGTATGCTTGCATGCAGCTGCTGCTGTGCTGCCTGGGAACGAGGCCTGGCAATGTGCGTGTGTAGCCCGATGCGCTAGAATGCAATATATTATAGGATATGTTCCATTAACTACAATTACATACTGTAGTTTACTAGAGTGCAAACACTGTACACTAAAAACTATCTTGTAATGAAAGCAACATTCTGTAGTAATTTACAAGATTTTGGATTGTAGTTGTGGATCAGATGTGGTGGAAGTTGGAAGTTTGGCATGTCTCTTCCTGCCCGAACCAGAGACGCCAAAACCCCTTACCACGGAAATATCCCATAAACTATATTAGACTCCATAATACGATTCAATGCATATTTCTCAGTTGAGGGTTTAGGGTAGAAACTCTAAATATGATTCGATGTATATTCCTGAACTGCCTTGATTGAGGGTTTGGGAGTCTTGGGGGAAGGTCGGTGTACAAATCCTGCAAGCTGGTCTGGTCTGCCAGCGACGGCAAGCACCAGATGCCGCGGGAAGTGCCCTGGCCTTTGAACCCTACAACCTAAACCCTAAATCCTGGCCTTTGAACCATGGGAATTCACGAATTCATATCTAGCTTAGTAGCTGAGTGAGTACATTTTAGTTTTTTGGGGGATGGTAGTAAGCACAAAAGTAGACTTTCTAGGGGCTTATGAACTCAGCAACTAGAAGATAAGGAAATCATTATGGGGAGCCCAGAAGAGGTAGTTTTTGAAGGGTCCAGGTAGATTCTGAAGGCTGATGCCTGCTGCCACTGCCATCCGATGGCCATCCGCCCAACATCGCCTGGTAAGGTCAGGATACAGCATGGTAGTTACTGTAATTATCGGGGTTAGGGTGTATAGTTCATAGGGCTTAGAGTTTTGGGTTTAGAGCTTGCGGTTTTGGGTCCAGAATTTAGGGTTTAGGGCTTAGAGGGGCCTGCATAGTTAGTAGTAGTCTCTGCGTATGGTCCGCATATTCTAGCATATTATTCCCGCGAAAGCCTTGTTCTCTCTGGTAAGGCCTCTATGCCCTAAGGACCAAATCACCTTGAAAAGTAGGGGCCTTATACCCCTATACTATGCATCCCACTTCTAGGGGTTCATTTCGTCCTTATGGTCGCGTAGTACCCTTATTCCCTTTTTGTAGTCCTAGGTTCCCTATGAAGTTGCTCAATACCAAAAAGGGGGCCCTTTTTATTCCCAGGTTACTGGGCATCCTAGAGTACCTTTCAGGTAGGGAACCCTAAACCCTAAATCCTACACCCTAAACCCTAAGCCCTAACCCCTAATACCCTAAACCCTAAACCCTATAAACCCCTAAACCCCTAAACGCCTATACCCCTATACCCCTATACCCTAAACCCTAAACCCTAAACCCCTCTACCCTAAAAGGTCGGGAAAGCGAACTGCGCCTTGACAGTATCTGGCAAGGGTAGCCTGCAGCTGGTCCGCAATACAGTAGAAGCCAGAAAGTTGGAACATGGCTTTAGGAGGATTAGTGCTAGGATCCCTGATAATATATACCTTAAGGTCATGAGGAGAATGATGTTCCAACTTTCTGGCTTCTACTATACTTCTTTGGGGGGGAACCCAAGAGACTCCAATACCCCTTAATTAGGGATTTAGTCTTTAAATCATATTATGGGTCCTACTATAATTTAAGGTATATTCTTTAATTAAGGGGTATTGGAGTCTCTGGGAGGGGGGAGGAGGAGGGGGGTTTTGGGTTCAGGGGAGGAGGGGTGTAGGGGTTTAGGGTTTCAGGGGAGGAGGGGTTTAGGGTTTGGGGGTTTCGGGTTTAGGGGCTCTAGAGGGGCATTTTAAGGATTCTTTGAGGGGGTTCCTGTGAAAAGACAGACTACAAGGACTCCATGACGGGTTCTCAAGGGGTTTTGTAAGTTCCCTTCAAGGATTCATTAGCGATTCTGGGACGAGGTTTGGGTTTGGGTACGGCAGCTTGACAGTCCTTCGAAATGCCATAATCTGTGCCCACCACCATGGCCCCACATGTCACGGTAGCCTGACACGGTTAAGATTCAACAATGGGTCTGTATGTCTGTGTGTATATGTGTAAATATGTGTCTACACATATGTTGTTTGATGCTTGCGGGAAGCATCGTGTGGTTGGCCTTATATAGTTCTGGAGTCGGAGCGCCAAGCGCAAGAACCCCTTCGAGTATATGTGACCGGAGAAGATGCAGAACCCATCAGATAATTGGAAGCCGGACGATCCTAAACTCTCGACAGGGTCTTACTGGCAGGACATTGGGTTTAGGGCCTAGTGGGCTTATGTGGTAGCAGAGTCTTCGGCGTTCTCCATCGGTTATCTGTGAGTCAGTGGTCCGAAACACGCCCCTAAGATCCCGCAACATCCCAGGCCTGTGCTTCTCTTCAAGTGCCCAAGTTTAGGGTTTAGGGCTTTAGGGTTTAGGGTTCAGGGTTTAGGGTCAAATTCCCGACATAGACTGCGAACTATTCACTTTTTTGGGGCTGAACTCCCGAACTCGAGCAGCAATCCCAGGTTTGCACCGGAGGACTCGCCCAACATCTCATCCCTGGCTTGAGCCGCCCCAACTGCTCTGGCCCTGGCCCGAGCGGGAGATTTCTTCATGCGTCACCAGCAGAGGCCAGCCTTTCCCAAAGGGTCCATGTACCTAAATACTACTACTATAGGACCTAGAGTGGGCCCTTATTCCCCTTTTGTTTAGGGTTCAGGTTGCCTTACAACCCCCTTTAAACCCAAAAAGGCACTCGTTTAATTGCTAGGTTACTCTTCTTAGGTCTAGAATAGTATATACATCGGTCTTGACCTAGTCCCTATATAGGTACTTTGGGGCCATAGTATATACTAGCTGGGGACGTGGACCCTTAGCTTTTTGACTGTTTTGAAGTGGAGAGATGGCTATGTACATTAGTGTCCCGAGATGGAGTTGGAGGGCATTTCGTAATTTTCAATAGTTTTTTTGACTTACAGTGATCTGCATGGTATAAACCCTAACCACCGGAGTCCTAAACCCTAGAATCCTGAACCATCAAACCCTAAACCTGAAACAGATGAGATACGAAAGCCGTGGGGCCCGCAACTCCTGTCAGCTCGGGGCAGGAAGGAATGGCTTCGTGTAGAGAGGCCATGAGTCTTCCCTTCTTGTTACTGTTTTTCTTATGGTGATGTGATTCTCGTAATCATTACTACTGTTGGCACAGTTGTTGTTATTGTGATCGCTTCTGCAGTGATGCATGCGTCTGGAGTAACTAGCCATAGCACCCGTACCTTCGGGAATTGTGGAATAGAGACTGAACGCAGAACCCTAAACCTAAGAATCCGACACATTTGGGGCTCCTTACTACGACTATACATCCTTAAGAACGTGGGCTCAGGCGGGTTAGGGTAAGCTCTAAGAAACCCTAAACCCTAAAACCCTAAACCCTGAACCCCTAAACCCTAAACCCCTAAACCCCTAAACCCTAAACCGACTCCGAGACGGCTGTTGCTTCGATGGTTTCTCAGACGCATCTGGGGCCACTGTACTTGGAGACCCAGCCGCAGGATGCAGTGAAAAAGATGCTGAGTCGTGCACGCAGGGTTTAGGGTTTAGGGTTTAGGGTAGGAAGTGTCAGAATTCCGTGACTTTGCACCAAAGATGGGCCTTAATAATTAGAATTGGGTTTTGCGGCTTATGGTTTTGGGCTTTCGAATAGGGTTTTGGAGTGGAGCGGACTGAGCAGCTGGGCCAGCAAAGAGAAGCAGAGTGATTGGTGCGCCCTCTCGAATCACCACTCTCATCGCAAAATAAACCGTAAGTTTAGCCATAATACGGCCAGCTGACTGAATCATGGTACCGAGTTCCTGGTGCCATTGATTCCCGGTAGCTGCAGGAACATCATGCGGAGTAGGACATATACAGTCGGGTTTTCTGGGCAGGGTTTGGGGGTGCAGTACACTACAGCAACACAAGTAGTACTGACAATAGCAGTAAGAAGGATAATATGAAGATTAATAAAAATAACAAGAACAATCGGCATCATCAGCATCATTATCATCAGCGTCATCATCATTGTCTTCATGATCATCACCATCATCATCGTAAGGAGCCGACAATTATCCTTGCTTATTCAGGCTTCTTTGGTGCTCTCACATGGCTTGAGCAGAGTTCCCCTCGCAGCTGGTGCTGACACGTTCAGAGGTTCTGATATGTCCTTCGAGTCCCTGTAATACGACTGCCCCCAAAACCCTCTTCTAATTATTAAGGCCCCTACGTTAGGCTTTAGGGTTTGATTGTCAAAAGCTCTTCTACTCCTGTCCCTAAGGCGACTGTAGCAAGAGATTCCCGAAACCCTGTACAAGTTATGATAGCCCATATTAGCCCGAAATAGTCTATAGTATAAAGGTTCCCTCTTTTTTCGGAACTTCAAGGCCTGAAAGAGAAACCCTAAACCCTATATAAGCCCTAGGCTCTCAAGTCTAGATCTGGCGGAGAGCCAGGCCCGAAAGCAGCGGCTTACCAGGACGCCCCAAGTGCCCTTTCAAACGAGCTCTCGTGCTCTTCAATAGTGGGGGCCTATCAAGTTGATGCCCCGAACCCAGAAGGCCTACGAATCCTCTACGACCGCCGGCTGAAGTAGAGCTTACTTGGAGGGGCAGGGGACTGAGTAAGTCGTTTATAAGTAGGGCAACTCAAAACCTCCACGTGCCGACAGAGCTGCGAGCCAGGCTCAAGAGGCATCCGCCCGATGAGGTCGCGGGAGGGAGTTGGGTTTTTTTAGGGCATTAAGGAGTAAAGCTTTGAGGTGTGTTTTCGGATTTAAGGAGCTAGGGTTCGGGGTTCAGGGTTGTGGGGCTTTGGACTCATGCTTTAAGGCTTTTGGCTTGTCGTGCAGCCGCGAAAACGCCAGCAAAGGAATCGACAACACCAGCGCGAGATCCTTAAAGAGACCAGATGACCCTTAAAAGTATGGGACCTCTAACCCTTATACTATGAATCCCTTATATGGTATTTGAGCCTTAAGCCCTTTTGGGGTTCATGTCGTCCTTAAGGATCTGACAGGACCCTGGGCTGGAGGACCTGGACTTCGCGCGTCTCCAGCCGCGCGCTGAGCTTTTTGAGGGGTTTAGGAGTTTCGGGGTTTCTGGGTTTAGGGGTTTTTGGGGTTTAGGGTTTTTTGGGGTTTAGGGGTTTAGGGTGTAGGGGTTTTGGGTTTAGGGGAAAACCGGAAGAGGGTTTTTACGAACAGGGTGTGTTTTAGACCCTCTGCGACTGCAGTTTCGGGTTGGATCTTTGGAAGACAATCTAAGTTGGCCTCTGATGTGGGTGGTTGTCGAAATTATGGTCCGTTTTGGGGTCCCTATTATAGTACGGCACCTATTATTTAGGGTACCCAAAAAGGGACCCTAATTTTGACAGCCACCCATGTGTTCTGCTGCATGTTTCGGAGTTGGGGGTTTCAGCCTTTCGGCTCCATGCCCGAACGGCCCTTGCACCCGGCATTGCAGCATTTGACTCATGAGAGTAACGAGCCTGCGGATGTCGCTCGAAGCCTCTAGCCCGACCCTTCCACGGCAAATCAACGGCAATTCTTATAGTCTCCTTATAGGACTTAGGAGTTACTTTTTTTCATTTTGGTTCATATACAACCTTAGAGAATATTACACATCGCACTTCTATTCATTATGGTTCTAAGGGGGTATAAAGATTCAGGGTCCACGACTTAGGGGTTCGGGCCTTTTGGGTGTTTACGGGGCCGAGAGAATGCCCTTTGAATCAAAAACTCTTCAAACGCCTTGTCCTTTGGAGGAAGATGATTTCCGATACCATGGCCAGCGCAGATGCGGAGATAGCCGGATCCGCCCTGGCCTTACAGTGCTGATGAAGTGCTCTTCGGATGCTTCGGATCATCCAAAATTATAAACCCTACTTAAAGGATCATGGGACTTAGTAACTAGGGATATAAGAAAAATAGGGCAACTATACGTATAACCCCAATTAGGGGACTTTTTACCATACTTACTAAGTCCCGTGCACCCCCAAATCCCGAAGCCCCATGGCAGGGATCAGGCCAGAATCCCAAGCCTCGATGCCCGCCCCCGATTTCGGAAGCCTATAGACCCCGAAGCTATGAACTCCTTAGGGGCACTTAGAAATATTTTCTAATTTTTGGTCAGTATAATCCCTAAGAAACCGCTAAAATTATAATTTTTGCTAGGATTCTAAGTTTGCGAGGATTCTAAGTTCAGTATAGATTCTGAACCCTGCACCTTTACAGTAATAGCTTGGAAGTTGGAACATAAATAGCTTCAAGGAAGCCTCAAACCCTGCCATAGTGATACCGTTACAGGGAACCCAAAAACCCGGAACCCTAAACTAGCTGTAGATCTGAACCCAAAACCTGAAACGCTTACAGGTGCCCTTTGAAGGGAACCCTACTATAGAACCCCGTAATACCTTGAAAGGGAACCTCCCGGGGGTTCTAAGACCCCCATGTTAGTTTCCCTCCGCCGCAAACTGAAAAAGAACGAGTAGATCCCTTAAAGCATCCCTTAAACAATCCCCTCCCTTAAAGGATCCCTTCGACTATCCCCTTCCTGAAAGGATCCCTTAAATTATCCCCCTAAACCCCAAAAGACCCCCGAAACTCCGGGCATCGGAGGAAGTGGGTGCCGCGGATGCGGGAGCCTCCCGAAGCGCTGGGCTTTCGCTCGGCGCACCTGGGTCGGGAGCTGAGGTTTGCGGATACCAAGGCTTCGTATAGGGTTTTGTAGGGTCTAGTTACGGGTTCATAGTTTAGGCTTTGGTGAAAGTGTAGGGGTTTAGGGGTTGGGGCTTAGGGAAGCCAAGGGTGCAGTACTCGGGTTTTGGTGTTCAAAAAAGGCTCAATTAGGGTTTGGGGGGCTAGGGGTTAGTGCTAGGGTTTAGGCTTTAGACAAAGTCTAGGGGTTTAAGGTTCAAGAAAAGGGTTTAGGGTTTAGGGGTCTGGGGTACACAGGGGTTCAGGGGTTGGGGTTTAGGGTCAGTATAAGTGGTAGCATACTGTAAGGGGTACTACAAGGAAGCCTCAATCCCAGAGAACCCGAAACCTCGTAAGCAAGGAACATACCTTGGGTGCTGCCCCAACGCTGTAATGTTACATTAGGGGCCAAAATTAAGGGCTATATAGTTACTATAACTACTGTCCAGCTGTTCCAGAGAAGGGCACTACCCAAAAGGTATTGGGGTCTTCCCAGAGAGCCCAACACCCCTTAATTAAGGAATATAGCTTAAATCATAATATGAACCCCCTGATAATTTAAGGTATATTCCTTAATTAAGGGGTATTGGACTCTCTGGGTTCGGGATGAGGTGGATCCCCGACTCCTGGAGTGCCAAGGCCTCCACGGAAAATGGCAAACATCCGTGCAGCCGCGGAACATCGGCGGCTGCTCGCCCAGTTTTGGGTTTTGGACTTTAGCTTCAGAGTTGCTTTAGTTGTTTAGTGGGGGCTGTCGGAGTGCATTTAGGGTTTAGTTTTGGGCTTCAGGGTTAGAGTCTAGGGGGTCGAGAGTGCAGTTAGTTTGGGACTCCCACCTTTG